GTTGGACTAATTGTTGTTTCTGGTGAGATTTTATCTGACTTTGTAATTTCTGCATCTTTGACTCCTTTATTAAAATCTTCCTCCTTGGATTCTGATAAGTTAATTGTCATATCCCAAATTTTACCCTCAGATTCTTTGATCTTTTGCATATCATTCTAGGTCAATCATGTTGTATAACTAACCAGTTTTTTTAGAGTTTGTTTGTTTTACTTCAATTATAAATCAGGGTTTGATTTCAGAAGATTCAAAGGTGTTTCAGTTAGAGTTTTGGACAGGATTTTTTTTGTTGAGTTGGATTTCTATTATTTAGAGGTTGTTTCTTTCAGTTTTTGAACTCAAGTTTGAGGCATAGGTGTTGGGTTTTAAATTGTCATGAACAGTGCCTATCAGAGGTTTATCAAGGCACGATATCAGTTTCTATGAATTTCCATAAGGAGTCATTTGTTAAGGCTTCACCAATGGTTTGACTGGGAAATTCTTAATCAAGGTTTTAGTTCTCATGAGGTTTTTGTTCATAAGTATGCACTAAAGGTGAAGATTAAGGTTTCTCACCCTGTGTTGAAAATGGGCCAGTTGTCGTTCAAGTGAGTTTCTCCTGAGGTTAGCATGTAAGATGTGTGTGCAGTAGTTTGCAGTTAATTGGATGTGACCTTATTAGTTTTTGTCAAGAAGTGGGATTTGTTTCATTGAAGTTTGGTTGTTGAGTTTTTGAAGGTCAAAATGGTTGAATTGTGCGCAAATACTGGTTGAGTGGTTCAATTTCTCGTCATTGTTTCCAAGTGTTCAAGCTAGCTGCTCAGTCCATGTCTATTACCCTGTTTTATTCATTTATCCATAAACCTTTTCTAAACCATTCTAATCCATTTAATCATCTTTTCTGGTATCCATATTTTTGCCAATTTACCCATTTCATTTTCATTATCCAAATTCACCAACAAATTATCTATTATGCATTTCAATAACCATTATCCAAAATTTCTAAATACACAATCCATAAAAATACATTTTATACCCAAATATCCATTCATTTATAATTCATTATATCAATTAATCCATGTCCACTTTTAAATATCCAATTTAGTTTAACTATCCAAATCCACATGTTCATATCCATGTCCTTTTCAAAAGAAAAATTTGCAAGATATCATATAACTTTTTTTTTATAACCAAAATCCATTACTAAAAAAAAGTCCTGTAAGAGTCCATTGTACATCCATTGCATTTTTGTTGCCACACAAATTTCAAGTAAAACAAAAAGGAAAGAAAAGCAGGAGGTCTTGCGCCCCTGCATTTGACAACAACTTGACATGAGTTGCTCAATGCATTCCTCAAAATTGTTGTTTCACACAATGCCCAAACTGGTCCTTTACACCTATCCTGCTACAAAGCACTTCCACTATAAGCCAAGACGCTGCTGCGATCTGTACAACAACAATGTTTCAACATAACCACATAACCTTTGACCAAACTCTACTCTGCATCAAAAAAACCGTCACAATGAAAGCAGGACCAGGATTTTTGACCGTACTACCACACTTTGAAAATGAATATACCATAATACCCCATTTTGAATTTTTTTTACCAGAGTACCCCCTTTTTACTACGAGCTCGCCCATTAAACTGACGAACCAGTTTGGCCCAATAGACGCTCGCCCAACGAAAGGACGAGCTTGTGATGAAACCTGGCCCAGTGTGAGCTCGTCCATTGGAAGGACGAGCTTGTGCACATGAAGTTTTATTTTTTTTTAATTCTGAGTTTGGCCCATTAAACTGACGAACCAGTTTGGCCCATTAAACTGACGAACCAGTTTGGCCCAATAGACGCTCGCCCAACGAAAGGACGAGCTTGTGATGAAACCTGGCCCAGTGTGAGCTCGTCCATTGGAAGGACGAGCTTGTGCACATGAAGTTTTATTTTTTTTTTAATTCTGAGTTTTATGAATTTGTTTTTAGAAATTTATTTTTTAATACATTAATTATTTATGTATTATAATTAATAATAAAATAATAATGTTAATTTTAATAAATAATAAAATTTTAATTTTTTTTAATTCTGAGTTTTATGTATTTATTATTATTAATTTATTTTTTAATACATTATTTATTTATGTATTATAATTAATAATAAAATAATAATGTTAATTTTAATAAATAATAAAATTTTAAGTATTAAAAAATACTCTTTAATAAAAAATAAAATTTTAATTATTAAAAAATAAATTATTATTAAAAAAATTTAATAAAAAATAAAATTATTAAAAACTCATTAATAAATAATTTTAACATTGATTAAAATAAAAATATATTTCATCTAATATGTCCCCCAGTTCCACAACTAGGGATCCTTCGCTGTCTATATCCCCTACCCAAACACTCATTTCTAGTTGATTCAGATGAGTCAGAAGACATGTCTTCATTGTGATGTGTTGTAGAGGGGTTTGTCTGCCGTGAAGAGGGTCCCGGTTTCTCATCGAGAAGATCATCAATGTTAAAATCCGGCATCTGCATCAGTTGCTCGTCTGTCAACAAAAATTGTTGGAATGAGTGTGGTGGTTGCGGTGGTGGCGGGTAGGTTTCGGACCGGGGGTGTTGAAAGGTTGGGTAGTAGACGTCATCAGGCGTGAAGTTCGGGGTGGGTTGAGTATAGGTAGTGTTGATGGTCGAGGCGGGTTGAGAGTAGGTTGTGTTGGAGGGTTGATATTGGAAATGAGGGTCGGTATGGTCAAAGAGGGGCGGTTGGACTGGCGTGAACTGTATGGGTGGTCGTAGGTATGGTTGAGGCTGATATTGTTGGTTGTATTGGTAGGTATAGTTTTGTTGATGGAGTGGATTGTTGGGTGTTTGGTTTTGGTATGAATGTTGGGATGTGTGGGTTGGTGGCACATCCTGATGCATTGATGCCGTTGTTTGTTGTGTTGATGATGATCCTTGCAAGCGTGGGTCTGTTAAAAATTGGTCCGGAGCAATGTGCACATAAGGAATGGCACGAAACCAAGTTAAATACTCTTGACTTGGCTTGCGTTCACCTAACACGACGTCCCCTTGTAAAATCACATGTCTCCCGTGTCTCCATTCTTTGAGCTCCTCGTTGTTTAATTGTCGCCAATTAACTCTTTGTGCCTTTCTCATAGTCATGGCGTGGTGTTCTCTTAGACACCTTGGGGGGAGGGATTTGTTGATCCAGTCCAAACTGGAGTGTTACTCTATCCGTTTGATGCATCTCAACGGTATAGAAACAAATAAGGAATGTTGTTGCACTCCAGATTTGACTATCTTCAAGCCTCGGTAGCGGATATCGAATGTACGGTCTCCATATGAACTGAAAAAAAAGGAAATTAATATACCGATAATGAGTTGAATTGAAGACTATTTCCACGTGGTTTGAAACTTACATCGTGTTCTTGCATATGGTCCAATGCGTTTCGATAACCTTGGAGATGGAAACGAGGATTTGCACGGTAGTTCATCCCTCGTTGCGCCCATCTTGTTTACCCAAAAAAATATTGTTAGAGATAGTTGAATAAAAAATATTTACGTTATGTACACATAAATGAGTATTTTAATAAAGTAATACCTTTGTGCATATGGATACGAGGGTTCCACTGTAGTGACAGGAGCGAACAATGAGATACGTGTGAATGCCCATGATGTTAGTAGGAGTGCACATCCGCTCAAGCTCCTAACATCTTTCACTGCCGCCTTGCACATTTCTCTATACAATTTAGCCAGGCATGCAGAACCCCAACTATAGGTGCCGCATTTTATAAGATCCCCTACGAAAGGGATCCAAGAAGAATGTAATAGATTCTGACTTTTGTCAGGAAACAAAATTGTAGCGATTACAAGTAAAATATAAATTTTAGCTTCTAAGAGAACGTCTTCTTGGGTAGGGGCATATTTATTTTTTAAAGTTCCATATAAACCCTCTAGCCAGGTTATTTTAACAGAACATTTAATTTTTTCATCTTCGGTAGGTTCCACCCCCAAGTTTTCCATGTAAACGTAGTTTGTTACCTCAGTGGGACCATTGATGGATGTTCCATCAACTCGCAGACCAAGTAACATACAGACATCTTCAAGAGTTATTGTGCATTCGCCCGTTGGGAGGTGAAACGTGTGTGTTTCCGGTCTCCACTTCTCCAACAGTGCCACAACCAAGCTTGAGTCGATTTTTAGACTTTTTATTTTTGATATATTTGCAAAACCAGCTATCTCAAGATACGGCATTATTCTCGCACTCGCATCAATAGGAGCATGCGAATGCACTCTAAACCTTGGGGCATTTGTCTGCAACAACATTGAACAAACATAATGTAATCAAAATTTATATTCTTAAACTACTAGAGAAATAATATTTAATGAAATCATATTTAATGAAATCATATTGTTAACAAACTTACGCTTGCTTGGATATTTTGCTGTGTACCACGGTGTTCTTCGCCCATCCACAAAATCGACATGGTAAAAATGGAGAAGTAAAGAAATAAAATACTTGTGTTACAAATGCTAGTGTAGTGAGTGTAGAAAGTTTGAGTAGAAAAATTGAAGTAAAAAATCGAATTTATAGAAAAATGATTCTTCATGCATGCAAATACAATTAAATTATGTCAACTTTATTGTCTTGAATGACCATTGCATGCAAAACTAGTCTTCATGCATGCAAAAGCCTTCATGCGTAGGCCTTACACATTTGTTCTTTGCATGCAGACACTCCAACACGAGCTCGCCCATGCATTGGACGAGAATGCACACTCCAACACAAGCTCGCCCATGGAATGGACGAGCATATAGGAAACACGTAACCAGCACGCCCTATGGAGGGACGAGCTTGTGGTAATGAAGAATCGAGGACGTCCTTTTAATGGACGAGCTTGTAATTCAATAATTCCATTATTTCTCTTATATATGTGTATACGAATATATGCAACACATACTACTATCAATATTCATAACCACTCTACTATCAATCTTCACCACCAAGAAATTTTCCACATTCGAAAATGTCTCAGAGAAACGTAATTCTTACATGCCACTACAACGGTGTTTTTACAACAAATATCCCCGACGGTTTCTCGTTCAGCAACACGGATACATACGCGTTTAAAATTCATGTGAATTCTGATTTTTTCCATTTAAAAGATAGAATGGGAAAAAAATTGACACGAAGCGTTGAGGAAATATTTTATCGCCATCCAACACTTAATGAAGACGAGCTTACAATTTTTTACTTAATGACGCCGATCAGAAACGACGAAGATGTGATTGCAATGTTTCGGTGCCACACGATGTTTGGTAACTTACATACAATTGAGTTGTATGTTCGACTAATAGACAACCTCGAAACATTTCCAACACAAGAGACACAGTCACACTGCTACGGGTACAGTCAAACATCCGACGACGAACCAACACAAAACAACTTCCCTTTCATACCAAATGAGGAGGTTGGAGAAGCAAGCAACGACGATATTCAGGAGGTCAGGATGCAAGATATTTTTTGTGACAGTGATGACGAAGACAATAAAGATATGGTCGTAACGTCGATCCGTACACAACCAATAAGTTTGTACAACCCGCCTGCTCACATGCAAAATATATATGACGAATACGATGATACAACCTCCGTGTTTGAAAATGCTACTCAAAACCATGTAGGTGACGAAATCGAGATTGGGATGGAGTTCGAAAACAAGGAAGCTTGTGTATTTGCTCTGCAGCATTGGCACATAACACGCAGTGTTGACTATTGGGTGTATAAGTCTGACAATAAACGGTATGTCATTAAATGTAAGAAACAAGACTGCGGTTTCAAGTGCAGAGCTTCCTTGAGAAAAAGGAACTCGAAATGGGTGATAGGTAAGCTGTCAGGGGCTCACACATGCAGTTCGACGTCTATGGCACAAGACCATAGGAAGCTCAGTTCAGAAATGGCTAGCCATAGCATCAGGGAACTTGTCAACGCCGACGCCTCACTCAAGGTAAAAGTGATCATTGCCCATATTCTAGAAAAATACGGGTACATCATATCTTATAGGAAGGCGTGGATCGCTAAGTGCAAGGTGGTAGAGTCGCTTTTTGGAAATTGGGAAACATCTTACAACGACCTACCGCAGTGGTTACTGGTAATGAAAACCTTCCTTCCAGGAACCATTATAGATTTACAAACACTACCTGCGATATCAAATGATGGTTCCCAACTCTCTGGAAAACGAATATTTCATCATTTGTTTTAGGCATTTCGTCCGTGTATACGTGGCTTCGCCTACTGTAAGCCCATTGTGCAGGTAGACGGAACTTGGTTGTATGGTAAGTACAGAGGAACTCTATTGATGGCGGTGGCACAAGATGGCAATGCAAATATTTTCCCAATAGCCTTCGCATTGGTCGAAGGTGAAACAAAGGAAGCGTGGAGCTTTTTCCTGAGGAACCTGAGACTACACGTGACACCACAGCCGAATTTGTGTCTAATATCAGATAGACACGAATCAATAAAGAGTGCATACAACAATCCCGAAAACGGATGGCTTCAACCAACATCCTCACATGTCTACTGCATAAGGCACATCGCTCAGAACTTCATGCGCGAGATTAAGGACAAGGCTCTACGCAAAAAACTTGTTAACATGGGTAAGAAAATAAATTTCACTTATCTCAAGTTTCGTAGCACACTTTTATCATTTTTTCACACAATTTTTCTTATAGGTTACGCATTAACAGAGGCTACATTTAATTACTATCGCGGAGAAATCAGTAAAACAAACATTGAGGCTTCGAATTGGATATACAACATTCCTAGGGAGAAGTGGGCCAGAGCATTTGATGGAGGGCAACGTTGGGGACATATGACATCTAACTTGGCAGAGACAATAAACTCTGTACTAAAGGCAACAAGAAACCTTCCAATCACTGCATTGGTCCAGTCTACGTACTATAGAATGGGTTCGCTCTTTGGTAAAAGAGGACACAAATGGACCAAGATGTTATCTTCAGGGAAAGTGTTTACAGATGGTTGTAACAAAGGCATGGCTGATGAGGTAGCTAAGACTAACACACACAACGTCATGCAATTTGATCGCGAAAGATTCTGTTTCATGGTGCAGGAAAACACTAACTATAACGACGGTCGTCCAACGGGTACTTTCCGTGTTGACTTGCGTAGTCGATTCTGTGACTGTGGAAAGTTTCAGGCATTTCACTTGCCTTACTCTCACGTGATAGCGACATGTTCTAGCATACGACAAGACTACACAATTCACATTCCAGAGGTCTTCAAAGTTCTAAACGTGTTCAAGGTCTACCAGGAGAGCTTCCTGGGACTACCGCACGAGGAGAACTGGCCAAAGTATGAAGGTTTTACTCTATGCCACGACGATTCCATGAGAAGAAATAAAAAAGGGCGTCCAAATAGTACTAGAATTAGAACTGAGATGGACGACGCAGAAAAAGAGCAAAGAAGATGTGGTATTTGTAGAGAAATAGGTCATATGCGTAGAAAATGTCCCAACGTTGCCGGTCCGTCAAACCGACCGACTAGATAATTTTATTGTACTACTTTTGTATGTAATCCTTCAAATATTTTTAATTCAAAACAACTTTAAAATTACAAAAAAAAACACGCGAACTACAAACATAAATTAGATTCGTGACTCCGCAAACTCAAAAAACAAATACATGAAGATAACATAAACTCTAACAAACAACAGCGACCAACACAAGTGGATCTGTGACTCCTCTGTTTACTTCGCCACTATGTGCTGAAAACATGCAATGGACATCTTCATCGTTTTCTATACGATCTAGGTAGTACATATACGTTCCCTCCGGGCTGGCATCGGTAAGCGTTATATATGGACAACGATACTCAATCTTCCTCACTGTCACGCGACGACCACCCAGCTGCCGAAATCCGGTGTTAATTGCTGCAACCAATATTCTGAAATTCCACAACGGATCTAGGTTAATATTGATTTTTTTCTCTGGTCCATAGAAAACAAGAGCTTGAACAAACATTTTTATGAGTTAGATAAGTTGTCACGAATGATACTTACTGATGAGCAATACACTTATTTATAAAAAAAATAACGTTTAAGCTCGGTCATTCAATAACCGAGACTTTGTAAAAACTACACACCTATATTACCGAACATCATTCAAATTAACATTATTATTTTATTATTTATTAAAATTAACATTATTATTTTATTATTAATTATAATACATAAATAAATAATGTATTAAAAAATAAATTAATAATAATAAATACATAAAACTCAGAATTAAAAAAAAAAAGTTTTATTATTTATTAAAATTAACATTATTATTTTATTATTAATTATAATACATAAATAAATAATGTATTAAAAAATAAATTAATAATAATAAATACATAAAATTCAGAATTAAAAAAAATTAAAATTTTATTATTTATTAAAATTAACATTATTATTTTATTATTAATTATAATACATAAATAATTAATGTATTAAAAAATAAATTTCTAAAAACAAATTCATAAAACTCAGAATTAAAAAAAAAAAAAAACTTAATGTGCACAAGCTGGGTCAGGTTTCATCACAAACTCGTCCTTTTGTTGGGCGAGCGTCTATTGGGCCAAACTGGTTCGTCAGTTTAATGGGCGAGCTCGTAGTAAAAAGGGGTACTCTGGTAAAAAAATTCAAAATGGGATATTATAATATATAAGTGTGGTAGTACGGTCAAAAATTCGCAGAACCCAACATACAAAGCCAAAAAACTACTGTGTTAAACCTGCACTTTGAGGGCATTGGATTAACATCAAAACAACAACATTATGGTGCAAATCTCTGCTTGCTACCTCATGTTCCACATCTGCACTATCAAAGAAAATATCGTTTCACTCTACACTTGCAATCCTCTACACGCACTGCAGACCATAACAATAGAACTTCTCTAAGTGACAGCAACCAAACAATAATAGACAATTGAGAAGGAAGTTTGGGAGTGGGTTTTTAAGGAGGAGAAATATTCTAGATTCAAAAGAAAAAGGAACAAAAAAAAGAGCCCGCCTTTATTCTCATAAAGAAAACACCGTGAAGCCCCTGTTTGCCTTAGTCTCCATGTCATAACAACCATACACAAACTCCTTGTAAATATCTCACAAATAGCCACATGTAGAGGTGGCAATTGAATCCATTAAGGCAAAATCCATCCAATCCATCCATCAAAAATATCATCCAATCCATCCACCACAAAAAAAATAAGTTAATAGATTGAATTAAATCCATCCATTTATATGCATGGATGGATTCAATCCATCCAATATATTTTAAGGATCTAATGGATTATTTTTATTTTCGTTAGATTTATTTTTTTAAAATTAGATTTTTTTAAAAATAATTAAAAAACTATATTTTTTTCTGAAAAAAAAAAGTTTAATTTTTTTTGAAAAAAAAATCTGATTTGTTTTTCGAAAAAATAAATAAATTTTTTTCTCGAAAAAAAAAATAAATTTTTTTCTCGAAAAAAAAACCGACTTTTTTTTTTGGAAAAAAATCGGTTTTTTTTAGAATAAAAAACTGATTTGTTTTTCGAAAAAAAATAAAATTTTTTCTCGAAAAAAAAAGCCGACTTTTTTTTTTGGAAAAAAATCGGTTTTTTTTTTTCAGAATAAAAAACTGATTTGTTTTTCGAAAAAAAAATAAAATTTTTTCTCGAAAAAAAAACTGACTTTTTTATTTTGGAAAAAAAATGGTTTTTTTTTTCAGAATAAAAAACTGATTTGTTTTTCAAAAAAAAATAAATTTTTTTCTCGAAAAAAAAAACTGATTTGTTTTTTGGAAAAAAAATATTTATTTTTACGAAATTAAAAAAAGTTGGATGGATGGATATTCATCCATTAAAAATATGTTAATGGATGGATTAGATGGATTTTATTCTTAATGGATGGATCGGATTGGATAATTTTAATAAAATTTTAGTGGATTTTAATGGACTAATGGATTGTTTTAATCCATCCATTAACAATCCAATCCATATCCATCCAATCCATCCATTTTGCCACCCCTAGCCACATGCATAACCTCTTAAAACCAGCAAACTTGTCATCAACCAACGCGAAAACAACAACACTGCTCGTTTCACAATACAAAACCTCCATAGTAGCCATCCTTCATCATTTCAATCTCACTCCCTCAAACCTACTCCTTCTTCACCATCGCTACTAACCTTCACGAGCTACCACAACCACATCTTTATCACCAAGCTTATGCAACACATCCAATAATGTCCTTCGGGTAGAAGCTTGCGCCGACCGCCGCGAAATCCAACACAACAACTCCGTCGAAAATCGTTAAAAAAAACCTTAACATCACCATCCACCATTACCTTCAACAACACTATAAACCTTCATTAATCATCCTCAACAGCAGCATTCGCCTCTGATTCACCTCGATTTGACGATGCTGATGCGATTCGTGTTTATGTCATATTTGTGTCAATTTTACGCGTGTGTTTATGTTATAGTGTAAGAAGTCGCGAGGGGAGAAAACAAGATTATGAGAAAGGAAGGGAAAACAGATTTGAAGGAGTAGAGAGTTTCGATTTGCGACCATATTTTGAACCTTTTTACTGAAACGTGTTGAAGGTGTGGCTTTGGTTTTATTTCAGTATTATTTTCTTTTTTTTCCTTAAATTTACCAACCAACGGGTCACTCCAACTAACCCTACCCGATCTGCTGATTTGGGCCTATGTTGCTGGCCCATTCGTTTTACTGTTTATACATTTAGCAAAATGTTTCACTCTCTTGGCCTTTGTTTTTGTTTTGGATTCTAACTGTTAAACCCATTTGATTTATTTATGACACCTCCTATTAGTTTTGATTTAATTAGATTTAGTTAATTAAATTTAAATTAATTTTTTAATTAGGATTTGCTATTTAGTTTTAATTAGATTTTAGTTTAATTTTTTAATTATATTTTAATTTAATTAGTGATTTAGTTTTAATTAGGTTTTAATTAGGATTTGTTAAATAGTTTTAATTAAAGTTTAAGTTGATTTGTTAGATTCGGTGACTTTATCATGTAGTTAAGTTAAATTTTTATTAGTTAATTATTAAGTTAAGTATGACATTTCTGTATTTTCACTTTAGTTAGTTCTTGATGTTCATTTCTTGTTGCTTTTGGTTGTGATTAAATCTTGATTTTGATGTCTTATCTTTTAAGCTTTCGACTTGTCGGAGCATTTACTGTATATATA